GCATCCACTCTCCTTCTGTCCTCCCTAGTCATTGTCCAACTCTCTGATGCATAACAAGTGATTGCAAAGACCATGGCCTGTATCAGGCGCACCTTAAAAAAGAACCTCTGAGCAAGAGTATATTAGGAGAAAACTTGGCCAATAGATTTACATTATTTCTAATGACTTTTCAAGATAAGTAAAAATCCTAGGTCTAGTAAGGGGAAAGCTGCATTGTTAGAGCTGGAAGAGATTTTAAAGATCTTCCACTCACAGACCCTTCTTTGTGCCCTGAATGCAGCCGAGACCTCAAGGTGAAACATCCTGTTTACATGCTGAACCCAGAATCTGAGACTCCTGACTTCCAGCAGCCTTGCTGTCATGTCGTGTTTTCTCCCACCATCTGAAGCCAACAAATAATTTATGTTTCATTCTCCAATTTGTTGTGGAAACGCAGCAATAGCTCACATCTTGTTACAAACACCAGATGCCAAGGATATAGTGTGCATAGTTTTCCAAGAAGAAAATTTTCTGTGGTGTGATTTGCTTGTACATATAGAAAACAGGCTGGCTTCCCTACTTGAGAGCTTTTTGTTAAAGAAAAAAAAGCATACTTATATCTGGTGATAAGTAAGTGGTTGTTTAGTACTATCAGCCTCACCTAAGGTAACTGATGTGTAACAAATTATTTTTCAACAAAGTGAACCATAATTGCAGTTGCGTTTTAGCCTTCTGGCATCTTGTATCTCTGGGTTTGATTACCCTCTGATGGATGTGATTGTTAATTTGTCCTTGACAGCATATATAATACTTTTCCCTGGGAGATCTTCACTGTTACATATGCAGGCTTTGAGTGAAATGGAGGTGAGAATTGACAAGGAATGGCTATTCATTTCCATGCAAAACAAACAAACAAAAAAGCACTAACTTATTATGTTTCCTTTCCTTCAAATGTCAACACTTAAACTGTAGTTTTAAAGCACCTGTTATCCTTTACTAATAACCAGTTTCCTTTTAAACTGACATCCTAATATCCAACTTGAATTTCATAGAATTACCACAAAATGTGATGTGATATGGGAAATCAGGTTCCAAATTATGTTGTCTGCTTCATCTTTTCCCATTTTACACACTTTGTGAGTAATAATTGACAAGGCTGATAGAAGCAGGTCACCCTGTTTGCTTCTGTACATTTTTTGCTTCATACAGATTTAACTCATTATATAATGCAAAAATCTTTGAGACATTGTGGGAATTGGATTGAAGAATATGTAATAACTCAGATCCTCTTGGTCCCTCCCTAGTTTTAGAAGTAGTATTACATGCAGGGCTGTCTGTCTGTCAAGGATCTCTTTAAAGAGATGACAAGAAACGATGTCAGTTTAAAGACTAAGGAGTTCCTGTCCAAAGCCATGGCAGTTTATGTTGTTTCCTATACATGTTAGAGTTAAAGAGGAATAAAACCAAAGAACTGCATCCAGTGTGCTCCTTGAAGCCACGTACTTTGGACATATTGTCAGGAGGAGCTAATCCTTGGAAAAAGACATGATACTTGGAACAATAAAGGATCAGCAAAAGAGGGGAAGACTCTACATGAGATGATTTGACACAGTGACTGTAACAGTGTGCTTAAGCTTGATGAAAATGGGCAAGGGTTTCAATCTGTTCTTCCTACAGTTGCTGTGAATTGTGGTTGAATCAATGGCGCCCAACAACAACAATAAAAAAATGCCTTGCCTTGCCCCACAAATTCAACTGAAGTAGCTATATAAGAACTCTACCACAATTCAGTGTCTTGGTGCCCCATTCTCTAAGTTCATGATTGGAAAGATCAAAGTGGCACCAGATTTGGTGAACATTGTACAATAGAATCTTTAATATCTATCCTAACTTTAACAAGCCAATCCAGGGTTGTTGTTATTATGTGCCATCGAGTCGCTTGCAATTCATAGTGACCCTATGCACAACAGCCCCAAACCCTGCTCTATCTCTTGCCAACCTTATTGTCTCTGACACACCTAGTTCCATTACCCCAAGTGATGGAATTAATCCACCTCATTGAAGGTTTTCCTCTCCTGTGCTGTCCCTCCACCCTACCAAGGATGACATCCCTCTCCAAGGACTGATCTTGCCTTGCAACATGTCCAAAATATGTCAGATGGAGCTTCAGAATCCTTGCCTCCAAGGAGCAGCCTGGCTTCGCCCTCTCCAGGACGAACTTGTTTGTTCTCCTAGCAGTCCATGGTATATTCAATACCCTTCTCCAGCACTACAGCTCAAAGACATCAACTCTCTTTCTATTATCCCTGGTCATTGTCCAGCTCTCTGATCCATAGCAGGTAATGGC